TCGGACAGTATGAATTGGCCAGGTGACTCTGGGGTCAGAGACGCTGACCTAGAACTGCATAGATCCTGGATTCAAATCATGATTTCATCCACGTGGAATAAATCCACATTCTGCAGTGGAGCGCATTCATAGCATCAGCCCGGTTAGCAATCACTGCACGAAAATAAATATTAAATTTGGCTGATCACTAAACTTGGCTTATTCCAACTCTGAGATTAACAAAATATGAGTTTGAGATGCGACGATCTCTGGACGTGCCCCTAAGTGTGGGCGGAGAAGGTCTCTTTAAGTGGCTCCAAGAAGCAAATTGCGTGCAGCCGTCTTCCAGGGGCCATTCTCTGATGCAAGGTGATCCACTGCTGTCTGCGAGCAATTCCAAAATAAACACAAAATCTGTCAGACGCTCGACACGTCCGCTCAGCGTGCGAGACACCGACTCGGTTTCACCCCGTTATTGCTCATCGGTGAGCCGTACGCACCGGGCAAGGATAGAGTAAACAAAAAACGAATCCGCGTCGCCCCGTGAAGGCTTGCGGCAACAGCGCGGTGTCTGCATTACCCACGGATTTCTTTGGCCCCCGAGACGCTCGCAGCTACCGTCGACTGGATTCATGCGACCGACAGGTGTGGGTTTTCGACGGCCCCGCATGCTTTAGGAATGACGCGTGGCCCCAGCATTGGGGTTGGCGTGGTGCCGCTAATGAGGCCGGTAATTTGAGGCGGGGGTTGGTTGATGGGTGGGGGGTAGTGGGAGAAAGAGGGGGGCTCTGTGTGGCCACGTTACACAGAGGTGGGAGGAGCATGAGTGAGATTGATATCTGCACCATCGTTTCGTGCTATTCAGATCGATCGTGACTTGAATTGCGTTGCGCTGCGATGTATTTTCAGGTTGTGCCCGCGCGTTTTTTGGCACGACGTCCGACGATTTACTCCATGTGAGTGGGATCTTCTTCGGGAACCTTTTTTTGGAGTAGTGAAAAAAAGCTCCCGGGAGCTGGAGCGAATTGTCAGATGTTGGTACCAGACAAAAAGTGGCCTAACCCGAAACACAACGTAGAGCTACAGAGCGCAACCTCAAATAACTCTGCAGTGGTCAACATCTAATTGTATTCCAATAACGTTCCACATCTGCGAATGGACTTTGGGAACACGTGAAATTTGACGTCAATTTCATAATAGGTGAGGTTCGCAAGACATGGCAGTGCAGCATTGGATTGAATTATACCGTGCCCAATATTATTCTCTTGCACGTAGCGGTAGCACGGTGTGTGTTATGCACATGCACAGAATGTTCTGTTTTATGCAATGAGACGGCCAGGAGATGACAGAACAGCAATGGGTTCTTGAATTAGTTTGTGCAGAGGCGGTGTTACCCCCTCTCGTGCGTGGGATTTCTCCCGGCACTTTGTTCTCCACCAGCAAGCCAAACACTCATTCATCGAATTTACCAACACATCCCAGTGCAGGGAGCCTCCTGAAAGAGTCATGTGACCCAATTGGGCTCTTTTCGATACACAGATAACATTATTCATCCACTCAAATGAAAAAAAATATATACGGACAAATATTTTCCAGTGCCATTAGACGAGAGCAAACCCCTGGGCGGCCTTCAACTTTCTCAGTCTCATCAGCATGGCGCAGCCTCTTACAGTCAAGCAGACGCTGCTGGGGTCACCAGCGACCGTCCGCTGTTTCGCTCGGGGTGCCAATCACAGGGAAGCATTTTCCTAACGTGGAGAATTGAGGACAGGGCAGGCGTGGGTAACGCTTTCCTTTATGCAGCTTTGCCCCGGCCAAGCGGGGCCATTCGAGTTCAAGCTACAGCAGCGGTTTCCTCGCGGCTCTCAAGTCACCCCGTCACTCCACCTGGCACGCAGCGCGGGTGGCGTGGAAAGCCGATTCTGGATCACGCCGCACAGGTTGTAGATTGTGGATGCCTGTTGTGGGCAGAGCAGGGAAATCTGTTGTTGTTGTTGTACCCTGCCATCACCAAAGCCACGCCGACGGCGAAGTATATGGTCAAGTAACCCCCATGACCTGCGCGGCGTGGGGAGGCCACCATCCATCCTGTCGTGGATTGACAAAAGTGATGTACATGCACGGAGTGCAACACGTGCGCTTAACTACAATACAACGCAATGTGTCACGTGTGGCTTCGAGAGTCTGTTGATCCATCAACCCTTGCCTCCAAAAGGCCGCTTCACAGGTGTGCCCCCCACCTTCCCCCCGAATCTACCCCCCACCGCCACACTTATGTTGTACGTTAACGTGTGGCAGACACGTGCAGGTGTCACGCCAGCCCTCCGTGGCTCTCTCTGTTGTATTCGCAAGAGCACACATGGTGCACGACCGTGAGTCAACTTCAACTGCGCCGCGGAAAGCGTCGACATTCCATTCCATTCCGTCTGCGCGTCGCATCAGATTAGACATATCGGGAAAAAAAACCCAGCGAACTCCATGAATACAGCGGGGTGGCGTGTCACGATTGAAAAGCCGAAACGATTTGAAGTGGTTTGAGTGTGCGTTGAACTTCTTTCGCACCGTACATAGCAAACCGCGCACACACAGAGCAGTTCTAAAGAAACGAGTTTTCATCTCACGTTTACTCTTCTCAGCTGGAAATTCCACATTCACATGGTGGGTAATGAAGAAAACAATTGACTAAGTGCACGTATTAAAATGCCACCATGTACTTTTTTGCGACAATTTTATTTGTGTTCCGCACTTGCATTCCGCTTCTGCACATTCGCGTGACGTCGTGAGATGACGCCACCATTCCAGACACTCGCGGTGTGGTCCATCACCCCGCGAGGAGCGTTCGAGAATGACCCGTGGAAGGTTATGTCACAAAACTACTTCTGAGATGACGTTTTAAGTCCGCCCCTCCACACGTGAGGGTCGGACTCACTCTCCCACAGAGCCACCTTACAGATAAATGTTCCCGATACGGCAGTCAAACGGTCATTGTGATATTTGTAACTTTTTTTCCAGAATTGTATTTTTGTTGTTGCCAGTTTAAGTAAGCGAGACAAAAAAGCAAACGTTTAACATAATGCCGCTTTTGCACAGTCACCGGTGACCATCACCTCGCTCAAGTTGCAAGCCCAGTTTGGCGACGACCAAGGCAACTAAAGCCTCGTTTCATACTCGCGATGTCAGTGATGCCAACTCGGCTCTCGCTGACCTCTGAACCAACCCAGCCACCCCTCTCACGGCTGCTTATTGCACAGCCAAGCCTTTACACGTGGCTCTAATCACTCGCAAGAGTTTTCATGGGCGGGTTGCTCCAGCCCTCACCTCCTCAGGAAAGGAGCGGTCGGAGGCTGTGATCGTAAAATCAGACGCCGATCTAAAACCGTGGTTCCACCCAAGCCTTGGGAAAAGTCCTTCACCGGATAGCCTTTTAATACATGTTTTTTTTTTAAATGTTGCCCTTCTGTCAATAACCTTGGTGTTTGAGATTACATTTCCCACTGGGGAGGGTCAATAGTGGCTGGGGAAGGGAGGGTACATAGAGGACGGGGGCTAGAGAGATATTTCAAGGTCATTTCTGGATGAAACTTGTAAAGTGAACAGCGGCAGCTCCTAAATTATCCTCGCTACCCTGCCTGGGCTGCTGAATGCCCAATACGAACGCAGGATGCCAACACACACTAATCACGCATCGTCAAGCGCAATTCTCTCCCACTTGGCTACGTTTATTGGGCACGCATGAGGACAAGCGTGCCCTCAAGGCCGACACAGCACACGAACGGGTGGCGTGGCCAACACCGAACACCCCAATTTGGGCTGAGTAGACCTAATTGCTAGCTCAATTCAAGATATATCTAACAATTACAATGAGCAGTGCAGTATTGCTAAATAGACTGCCAGTGTCGATGCACTGCTGGATGAAGGCCTCCCCACACCGTGCCAGTCATGGCTGTTTTACGATACAGAATCAGTGTCTTTATTTAGACTGCAGGAGGAATTCGATGAGCTATGAAGCTCTTTTTCACAGATGTCCAGGAGGGGCGGGTCAGAAAGTTCAAACATACTTTACCTCGCCAGTGAGTGTGGATTGGTGAAGGCGGGGAGCGTACACGTGGTAGTATCGAGGTTCAGCATAATAACATATTTTACTGCTCTGGCCTCTGTTACCCACAACGTAAATCCTCAAATGACACGACGCTTTCCTTTATTTACTACAGGCCTGAGCCCTGACCTCCTCCGAATGACGATGGGGAGTCATGGACATGGCAATAAAAGGGGTGAAAGAGGGCAGCTAAACCACCTCCACCTTCCCCTCAGCCACACCACCACGACCCTTGCCACCCAAACATGAGACATGAGGAACAAGGAACATGTCGCCCTCTCAAAGTCCAGTGTCCTCAAAATGAGCCCGAATGGCTCCCTGGCCTCCAAAACGTCAAACACAGTTCCCACGAATGCACGAAGACAAACCCAGAGGGGTCGTGGCTCACGGTTTGGATTGTAATGTTACTTTTCTTTTCCTCTTTGGGGACACAGTAGCGAAGTAGTTAGCGGCGCCGCGCCACGAGTTTCATTCCCGGCCACGGCTAACGTCAGTGGCGAGTGGCACCTGAACTGGATTCTGAAGCTGCCCCCTTCATTAAGATGGGAGAATTGAGGCGGTGTCTGAGCAAAAAAGACGTGATAACCCGACAACCTCTCATTGTCCAGAGAGCAGGCTTCTGTTGGGAGTGCGTGGATTTAAGTGGATGAAAAAAAAACATATTGCGTACACTGTGCAGTGGACGCGAGCAGAGGTTGTTTTTAAACTCTATAGTCAAGGTTTTCCAAGACAACCCTCGATCGTTATGCGATCTCCTTGTCATCCTATGAACTGTTACAGTTACTGCGATTTGGCTATGCTATCCAATTCAATGGCAAGAAAGTGGATAAACAACCTAATGCATAAATACATACTTACTCCCTGAGGCTCTTCCCCTTGTGCCCCCATCACCCCCCCCCCACCTCTCCACTTGTCCGTGCTGAAGATGCGCAAGCGGAGCGCGGCGTCGCGAGCCGGGATGTGCGAGCGAGACGAGGTGGTGGCCATCAACGGCCACCCATGCGCGGGCCTCACGCACACCCAGGCCATGAACCTGGTGGATGCCGGCGGTGGCTCCCTGGACATCCTTGTGGGCAGGTGCGGGGGGAGGGGAGGCCCGGCGGGGGGGGGGGCTCATCATTAACATAACGCTGATATGCATTTTTAAGACGAGCGCCCCAACCTAAACCCAACCTACCCCAAAACCTTCGTGAAAGTCTAGAAAATAAAGAGTGAAAGCGGCAACGACTGCGCCACCGCTCCCCACAATACACGCACGCAGCCGACCTAACCCCCTACCCTAACGCGCGGCTCCCGACGCCCCTCGATGCGCGCCCACAGATGCAGGAACCTCGCCGGGGCCGAGGACGGCCACCGTCTGCGTGCGTCCAGCTACCAGGAGCTCACCTCGGCCTCGGACAGCGACGCTTACTTCGGGGAAACGGACAGCGACGCCAACACGGACCCGGGCTGGGCCTCGTCGCACCGCCCGTGGGGCCACCGCCGCAGCCCCCGGTCCTCCCCCACCCAGCAGCAGCAGCAGCAGCAGCCCTCGTTCACCTCGTTCGCCTCCTCGTCCGGCCCCGCGTCCGGCGACACGGGGCTCTACCACGAGGGCGGCGTCGAAGTGTCGGACCTCAGCGAGTACGACTCGACGTCCGAGCTCGTCCACTACCACCACCACCAGCAGCAGCAGCAGCAGCACCTGAAGCGGGCGGTGGTGAACGGAACGTCGGGATCCGGTGGGCACGTCGCGAACGGAAGCGCCGCCCCGCCGAAGCAGAGCTCCCTGCACATCGTCCTCAACGGCGGCCAGGAGGGCGAGGCGGGGGACGGCGAGGGTTCGGGGGGACACGGAGGGGGTGACGTCGCCGCCGACGACGACGCCGCCGCCGCGGCAGGGGCCCCGGCGGCGCAGGACGGGCAGGCGGCGCTGGCCTTCACCCTCAACTTGGCCGTGCGAGGGCCAGGCGGCGCCGCCACCAGGGAGGTGGACCCCCTGCGCAACGTGGCCATCGTGGACGAGGAGGAGCTCATCGCCACGTACAAGGAGAAGGCGAAGCAAGCGCGTGAGTGTGGGAGGGAGGGCGGGCGGGAAGAGGGGGCTGGGGGAGGGGACAGGGAGGTGGAGGGGGCCCATGTTCACTGACATGGTCAATATTGTTATTATTTACCCCCACCAAAAGTTGATTGGGGCGCCACCTTGCCGGGATGTTAACGACCTCGCCTGGTGTACAGGAGGCCGTGGGTTCGATCCCGACCGTGACGCCTGCTCTATATTTGGAGTTTGCACGCTCTCCCCATGCTCGAGTGGATTTTTCTCCGGGTCCTCCGGTTTTCTCCCTCCACATTTATAATCGAAGCCACTCGTTCAGAGTTTTTGGCTGCTGCTATAGATGTCCATGTGATGAGCCACTTCGTTGTTTCATCATTTGTGATGGCCAGGTTGCTTCTAAAAAAGAGCTACTGTACAGCTCAGTGGGCCTTATCTGTTAAAATGTTTTATATATAATGTGAAGGGGGGGTTGGGTGGGTGCAGTGGCGTGGTCCATATTCATGGACCAATTAGGTACGTATTTTTGGGATCCCACATTTCATACATTATATTTTTTATATTTATAATTACGTGTGCAGATTAAATTTCATATAAATGCCAAATTTCAGATTCCTAACCATCCTATAACATATTTAGAATTTACATTAGTCTTGATTGTCTGCATATTTTATTATTATTTCGTTATTATTTTCCCAAGATGCCATTTTACTTAGAATACCAATTGGTGTTCTAAAGCATACCAAAAACATTAATATTGTCAACTTTGGATCAGCTTCGTGCTCTTGGTACTCACCAGCAAGCCATAGCTGGTTTTGCAATTATCAAAGAGCATGGATTATCCATAATAGAGGTTTATTTGGGTAAGATCGCTTGTCGTTAAAACCCGCCACCACCCGACACAACTAACTAGTAAGGGTTGTCACGTAAACAGAACGTGGCCAATTCGTCACTAGTACAGTACACCGGTGTGTTGGAGAGCCAAGTCACAACATTTACAATCTGAGTACAGATGTTCCATTTACGTGACAACCCTTACTAGTTGTCTTTGTTGGGTGGTGGCGGGTTTTAACGACGCATTTATATATTTACGCGATCTAACCCAAAAAAAACCCCTCTATTATGGATGATATTGATCGCGAAAGCCTACCACGTGTTAAGCATGGATTGTACATACACAAATACACAATTACACAAATACACAAGCACACAATTACACAAATACACAATTACACAAATACACAGATACACAAATACGTGCCTTTAACAAACACAACGGATCTCCCCAGCATGCTTTGCAGATCAAGGTGACATTGCCATTGTTACGCCATCTGAACACGCTTTGCCCCAAAGCGTCACACCTGGATGTCAGCCAGCACACACGCCTTGGCGGGCATGTCACAGGATGACATCCAGGCATGAGTAAGGGCTCTCTATTCTTATCCCGTTCTCATATCAATCCCCTGCCGCCATTGCGACAGGGGTGAGCGTTAGCGCCGTTAATTATCGCTGCGATTCGTCTGTGTGTGTGTCTGTGTGCGTGTCTGTGTGTGTGTCTGTGTGCGTGTCTGTGTGTGTGTCTGTGTGCGTGTCTGTATGTGTGTCTGTGTGCGTGTCTGTGTGTGTCTGTGTGCGTGTCTGTATGTGTGTCTGTGTGCGTGTCTGTGTGTGTGTCTGTGTGCGTGTCTCTGTGTGTGTCTGTGTGCGTGTCTGTATGTGTGTCTGTGTGTCTGTCTGTGTGTGTGTCTGTGTGCGTGTCTGTGTGCGTGTCTGTATGTGTGTCTGCGTGCGTGTCTGTGTGCGTGTCTGTGTGTGTGTCTGTGTGCGTGTCTGTATGTGTGTCTGCGTGCGTGTCTGCGTGCGTGTCTGTGTGCGTGTCTGCATGCGTGTCTGTGTGCGTTTCTGTGTGCGTGTCTGTGTGCGTGTCTGCGTGCGTGTCTGCGTGCATGTCTGTGTGCGTTTCTGTGTGCGTGTCTGTGTGCGTGTCTGTATGTGTGTCTGTGTGTGTGTCTGTGTGCGTGTTTGTGTGCGTGTCTGTGTATCTGAACCGGTCCCGGGCCTCCCCTAGGTCGACTCAGCCTCAAATGAGTACCTGGTGCGGTGTGGTAACATCGCCACTGGGGAGACAAAGGCGGTCGGGCGTGGTGCTGGCCACCCACCCCCTCGTGTACCGTTCCGGCCTTCATAGGTGCCCGTAACAGAACTTGCCCCTACAGTCTGTTAAGGCTATATGGGGGATCTTTGTGTCTGTGTGTCTGTATGTGTGTCTGTGTGTGTGTCTGTGTGTCTGTATGTGTGTCTGCGTGTGTCGGGAAGCGGCAGTGTAGCGGTAAGCGCGCTGCGCACGGCCAACACCAGTGACGATTATCTGAACCGGTCCCGGGCCTCCCCTAGGTCGACTCAGCCTCAAATGAGTACCTGGTGCAGCGTATAAAAACATTGCTACTAGGGAGACGAAGGCGGGAGAGCGTGGTATTGGCCATCCACCCCCTCGTGTGCCATGCCGGCCTTCATAGGCACTCGCTAACAGCACTTGCCCCAACCGTCTGTTGAGGCTTCATGGGGGATCTTTGTCTTTGTCTTGCACCATTGTGCGGGAAGTGTATCTCCACCGTGGCGGTTGTGAATTGAACGCCCGCTGAGACCGCCACACTGTCCGCCTGCTCTGCCTGTGACGTACACGCTGCCTGTGACGTACACGCTGCCTGTGACGTGCACGTTGCCTGTGACGTGCACGCTGCCTGTGACGTGCACGCGCGTCATTGTGCGACGTCACAGCCCTTGGGGCGATGCACTGCTGGCCTAGGGCCTCCCCAAGCCGTGCGGGCCATGAGGAGCCTGCTTGGTAGCGTAGACGCGGGGTCATAGAAGTTTTACTGTCACGTCAATTGCTTTGACAGGCTTGGCCTCGGCTGATCACAAAGTAGCGCAGCTCCGCAACCGCCAATGGCAGCCCGGCATGCACGGTGGTCACCCGTTCCAAGCGCTATCCAGGCTCATACCGGCTTAGCTTCTGGGATCTTCCGAGATCAGGATGATGCCAGGTGATTTGGTCACGGGCTGCATCTTGTCTATGCTGCTTGTGTCACGTTGCTCTGTGTCTGTCAAACTGCTGCGAGGGAATGTGCACTAAACGCCCACTTCATTACTCATTCACGAATGCAATCACTCACATCACACACCAGCACACATACGCGAACGCACACTACAATTCACACACTCTTACTTACACTAACACTCATATGAAGACAAATATCTCCCCTATAGCCTTAGCATTGTGGGGCAAGTGCTGTTAGCTAGCACCTATGAAGGTCGGAACGGCACACGAGCAGGTGTGTGACCAGCGCCTTGGCCTCCTGAGTGGCCATGTTTACACACCGCAGCAGGTACTCATTTGAAGCTGAGCAGACCTACAGGAGGCCAGAACCGGTTCAGACAATCGTCACCGACGTTGGCCGTGGCCGGAAATCGAACGTGGGTCGCCGGATTTCGTAAGCCAACGCGCTAACCGTAATAGCGCTGACTGTAGTAGCTCTAACCGCTGCACCACCGCTCCCCACTCACGCGCAGGACTGAACCGCGGCGAGAGCCTGGTGGAGAAGCAGCAGAAGGAGGTGCGCCGGCGGTGCCAGAACATCGCGCACTCCCTCGCCTCGCCGGTGCCGCGCGCTCCCAGCGCCGACCCCGGCAGCCCCCGCCCGGACTCGCGCGGCATCCTCATGTTCCGCCGGCGCCGGCAGCGCGTCAAGCGCTACACCCTCGTCAGCTACGGCATGGCGTCGGACGGCGAGGGCGGCGAGCCTCCCGGCGCGTCGGGTGAGGACTACGACGAGGACGAGGACGAGGAGGAGGAAGAGGAGGAGGACGAGGAGTGGGCGCGGACCGAGGGGACGGAGGGACGGCCCAACGCGTGGGACGCCGTCTCGTCCGACTGGGAGAGCGCCGGCGCTGAGGGTCACCACGGCAGGGGCGGTCGCGACAGCCTCCCCGAGCTGGGCAAGGGGAAGGGCGCGCTGCTGTTTGAGCGGAGGAGGCAGCGCGTGGAGGAGCTGTCCAGGGAGGAGCGAGCGGCGGAGAGCCGGCGGGAGAAACCCGGAGGAGCGGGAGGAGCGGGCGAGGTGCAGAATCCTGGAAATGATCTCGGCCACGCGGCGGGCGATCAAGCGGACGGTAATTTTAGTTTTTGTTTTCAACGTCATTGTGATCATTTCATCACTCATCATCCATCAACCGTGGGTTATCCACTGCTGTCACCACCACCATCCCTCACGGTCCTGCCATGCCACAATCCATTTCATTCCTGCACTCGCCTTCTCACTCCATTTCCACGGTGGCCATTCTCTCCGGCACGTTCCCTCCTTTAGCAGCCGTTACATTACCACTCTCATCTGTCGACCTTTGCCCCGTCTACTGATGTGCGCTGTCCCAACCGGAGTGTGAATTGAGTTGCTCCTGATCACTTTCTCACTTCGCTCCTCTTCCTACATCTCAGTGCGATTCAGAGCTTGCATCTCTCCATGCTGCATCGCGTATTTTTCATCGTTTGCTTAGCAGATTTTTGGGGGAAAAAGACGGAAAAAAGGGATAGAAAAAAAAGTTACTCAAGAGTTCAAGTGCACTGTTTAGCATGAGGTCAATGTTAAACTTAAAATGCAATGATATATAATGTAACAAAATATAGATTGTTTATATTTATACCTTTTTTCCTTTAAATATACACATAGTGAATCAATGCGTGCACACGCAGAAATTGATTAACTTGTCCATGTGTCTCTCCCACGCGCATGTACATACGCCCGCACACACCCACGTACACACACATGCACGCACGCACGTGCACACACATTCACGCATGCACACACGCATGAATGGACACGCACACACATGTGCGTACACGCACACTCTTACACGTAACGTACACACACACACATGTATTCTCACACACGCGTACATTTACGCACACACGCACGCACACGCACGTACACACAGCGCTTCAGGGTGCACCCCCGCACGCCCCCCCCTCGTACAGCCCAGTGCAGCCCCCCCAGTCTCGCACCTTCTCCTCCAGCGTGCAGCTCCCTCCGGCCCCGACCCGGGGTCACGGGGTCAGCGTGACCACGGCGGCGGCCCCCGTGACCATCGCGTTCAACTACTCCGGCCCCGGGGGGGAGCCGGGGCACGCGGCGCAACCCGCCCAGCAGCAGCAGCTGGGTGAGCAGCAGCAGCAGCAGCAGCAGTACGAGCAGCAGCAGCAGCAGTACCAACAGCAGTACGAACAGCAGCAGTACCAACAGCAGCAGTCGGGCGTGCAAAATCGGAGCGCGCGGCCGTTCACCCCCGTGGCGGAGGGGCCCGGCAGCCAGCGCCCGGCCTCGGCGCCGTTCAACCGCGTGAGCTTCTCTCCCAAGCCGCCCCAGCAGCAGCACCATCAGCAGCAGCAGCAGCAGCACCATCAGCAGCAGCAGCAGCACCATCAGCAGCTGCAGCCATCGTTATCGTCGCCGGGAGCCGTGGCGGTCAACCGCACCGCCCAGGCGTTCGCGGTCTCGGGTCGCGGGGCTCAGGGAGCGGCGGCCGTGGCGGCGATGCCGGCGATGGCGGAGGAAGCGCAGAGGACCTTTGCCCAGCCGGTGGCGTCGGCGGCGCCGCAAAGCTCGGCAGGCGCCGGGGCCGAGGTTCTCCCCTCGAGGGAGCAGAGGATCTCCACGCCGGCGGTGCGCACCGGCGTGCTCCAGGTAGAGGAGCTTGCGGTGGTTGTGGCTGATGGGGTGCATGGGGGTGGGAGGGGAATATGGTTGCCACCAGTCCGAGTTTTGGCATCTCTGTGTTTGGGCGGCAAGGAATTGATTTGTGCCACAATCTGGTACCGGTGTCGTGTTGCGCTTAGTCACAGTTATTCTGCACAGTGTTTGTTGATAGGACTTAGGTTGACTGAGACTTCCGTCCATGTTGGCTCTGTGGACAAGGTGGCCACCTACCCCAGGGCTGGAGCTGAAAATGTCCAAAAGTTTAAACAAAAAGTGAGAATGGGGCCAGGTGAGAAGCCAAGAGAGGGGCTAAGGTGAGAGTTAGCGGTCAGGGTTAGGTACGGTGGGCTAGTTGGTTCGGTGAGAAGACGAGTATTCGTGGGCGGTTGGATAGTTATGATTAGAGATGGTTTTGGTTAAGGCAAATACGAGTGTCCGGTTGACAAAATTGGCTATGATTATGGGTTGTGGTTAGGACAAGTACGAGCGGCCAGTTGTTTACCTGACCGTGTCTCTCTCTCTCTCTCTCTCCACCCGTCTCCGCACACAGCAGGCACAAAGACGCCCTAAGCAGCGCCTCTTCTCCATCCCGGAGCCCCCCAAGGAGAAGCAGCGGCCAAACCCGGAGCTGCTCTCCCTGGTGCAGGGTCTGGATGGGCGGCCGGGGTTCGAGTCCGGGCCCGAGGACGACTTCCTGAGCCTCGGGGCCGAGGCGTCCAACTTCCTTCGGTCCGGATCTGGCGTCGCCATGGCCACGGCCACCGGCACCGTCGGCGGCGGCGGTGCCGGCGGCGGCGGCGGCGCCAAAGGGAAGACGCCGCCGCCGCCCATCGCTCCCAAGCCGTCGTCGGGTGGCAGCAAGCCGTCGAGCCCTGTGGAGGAGCCCCAGGAGAGCACCCTGTTTCTCCGCCACACACCCTCGCCCTGCCCCCTGCACACGGCCAGCGAGCCGGGCGTCCCGACCCTGCAGGCAATGCGCGACGCCGACGCTCCCCGCCCCGCCGTCGCGCGCGCTTAAATCGACTCGTCGTGCGAGCCTGTTCACCGGGAAGCCGCCGGGAATTCACCGGAAAGTCAGCGGCGCGCCGATGGGGATGGGGTGCGGCGCCGTCCACGGCGTAGCTACCGAGCGTGCAGGCGGTGGAACTGCCACGGGGTTTTGATGGGGTGGAGGGGCTCCAAGTGCCAGGGCTGCCGAGAGGAAAGGGTGTGGGGGATGGAAATTGGACAGGAGGGGGCTCCCACCTCATTCATGGCACCAAAACGCCAATCACGCAACGCCGCTAAACGTGTCAGTGCCACAGCTTGCGCTGTGAATTCACGCAGGGTCCAACAGACAGGATTGCTCTTTGAGTTAACATTTCGATTTCAAGTGGCAATTGTCCCAGTTGTGATATGGATTTGGCCACCTCATGGAGTATATTTTTGTCATAGTTGTAGTTATGTTAGTATAGTATAATGGTACGGGCAAATATTGAAAATGCTCTGGCATCTTTAACAAGTGTTTCTAGAGACTGAGTGTGAAAAGCTTTAATTAGAAATTTGGACTGGTTAAATACTGAAAAAATATATGAATCACCAAACTATGTACCAAACAACCTTCCTAATTACCTACTTACCAAACTTACCAATCTATCAACTGACCCAATTAAATATTTACCTACTCACACATTAAAAGATCGATCAACATAACTACCCACCGACCTGCTTAAAAATCCTGCCACCTGCCTGCCAAATTAATTACCTACCACCTATCTACCCAGTTTAATAATTACCAAGCTAATCACTCAATGACCTGCCTAGCCACCGACCTGCCCGCCTACCTAACCATCAACCCAATTAGCTAACTACCCACTCAACACACCCCAACCTTCCACTTACCTAGCCATCCGCCCACCCCCGACCTCCCTACGCCAATTAACTATTCGCCCGTCCATCAACCCACGAGCGAACCCGGCAAACACGGTCAACCGATAACTGGCGTGCCCTATGCCGTGCCCCCCCCCCCCACCGGCGTGCACCCCCCCCCCTCACCCGTGCCACAGGGTAAAGGCGGGGAGCTGTTTGCGCGTCGCCGCAGCCGCATGGAGAACTACGTGGTGGACAGCCCTCGGCGGGCTCCCACGCCCTCGTCGCCATCCTCGCTGCCCCCGTCCTGGCTGCCCACGTCCACGGTGCGCACGCCACCGCCACCCTCCTGGGGCAAGCAGCAGCAGTACAAGCTGGGCGGCGGCGGCACGGGCGGCAAGGGCAAGAAAGCAACCAAGCCCATGTCGGCCAAGGAGGTGATGCGCCGGCCGGCTTACCAGCTCAAATCGGCCATGTTCGTGTACGACCCGGAGGCGATAGCCCGGCCCTCCCTGCCAACGGCGGCCCCCGGGTCCCGCCCCGCGGCCCCCGTCGCAGCGACGGCCACAGCCGCCTCGGCGATCAGCGCCGTGACGCGGCGAGCGGCGACGCTGCCGTGGGGGCCGGCGCCCGTCTCCGCCCGTGGCGATCCTCGGTCCGTGACTCCCACTCCGAATCCTCTTCCTTCCGCTCCTCCGTCCGCTCCTCCGTCGTCGCTCGGCGCGTTCATGGCGTCGGCGCTACCGACTCCGCCGCCCTCGTGGGGCCACGAGGAGGAGGCCGCGGTGGCATCGGCGGTGTCGCACGTCAGGGCCCCCGGGTTGGCAAAGCCGCGGCCGACGTTCAGCGTGCGTAACCTGGGCCTCCAGCGACAGGTGTGGGGGGCCCTGGCTGAACCCCAGCACTACAATTGAGCACCGCTCATAGAGATGCCCTCATTGGAGAAGAGGGGAGGGAGGCTCGCTCAGCGTGGTAGTGGGAGGGATGTAACGATTCTCCGCGATCGTTACATCCCGCGTAGCTTCCCCACAATAGTTACATCCCGCGTAGCTTCCTCGCGATCGTTACATCCCGCGTAGCTTCTCCAAGATTGTTACATCCTGCTTAGCTAACCCGTAGCGAATTTCAATGAGAAAACGTGAAGCTGCACCACAATTTAGCTACGATATAGTGCCAGCAGCATGAGTTTGTTTGTAAACTTGGGATTGTTATTATTTTTTTAATACTACCTAATTAATGCGGCTTCCGCATTGCACTTAGTTTTCCGGGGTGCGAGTGCACGCCGATAAAAGATATTAGACACATTTGTGTCATTAGTCCGGCCTGCTGGAGTGCTGAAACGCAATGAAGTGCCTCTCGCCTCGGCGTCGCCTTCAATCGACGACCGACACACCGCTCGCAAAAGCGTCGTCACATCTCGACCTTTTGTTAAAAGTTGCCTTCGACGTACCCAGCTGCACAATCGCGGCCACGCGAAAAGACGAAGCCGTCCGTCGGCGTCTGGGTTTAGGTACGAGAGATAAGGTGGTGGTGGGGGGGGGGGGGCGGACCGGGAAAGTGGCTTCACCCCCCCCCCCGCCCGTATCCACCGATCGCCCCCCAATAATCGCACGGAAAACGAGAGTCCCCCCCTGGTGCTCCCTTCCTTGACGAGAGCGTGGGCTGCCGAAACGTTTCGCGCGCCTCCTGCCTGCCGTCGAAGAGGCCGCGTAGAAATCGAGCAGAAAACGAACGATCGCTCGGCCGCGGTGATATCGGAGAAATCGAAGCGTCGGCATGCAACGCGACCACCGGTTGCTCGGACGCGTCGGCCGTCATCGACGTCGCCATCGTAGAAGTTGTAACGGTTGACCTCGTGAGAGATTCGGTCGCTCCAGGGCCCTGTTGCGTTTGTATTTGGTGTTGGAGGTGGCGGTGGCTGGCAGGGGTAGGTGAACCGTATCAGTTGTGACCTCTTTAGTGCCTTTGGAAAGCAGACATTGGCCACCCACTGTGTGTCAGCTATTAAAAAAACGCAACTGGAGTTTGCAGATTTGAGGAAAATTCTGCTTTCTCGCCATTTACGTACGGCATGATAACTTTTTTTTTTCAGCGGTTGAAATATTTCTTCGTGAATTGTTGAATCTCGTCCCTACGCTTGTGTGTCTCGCGTAGCGTGAGCTACACGCCTTACGAGCGACCGACAACACCAGCGCCCTTTCGATTCGTGAACGTTTCTGTTCTACCGGTGATATAATCACACAGCGGCAGCAGCAGCTGAGATTTTGTGGCTCAAGCCGAGGAGGGTTTATTTTTTATTTGCCCAAGCACAAATTCGATGGGATGTGCCCTCCCCTTGACAGCTGTTCTTTACAAGCAAAAAAGTATATTCTTTAACAACAACAAAAAATTATATATTTTTATAATCGATTCATTGCCAGCCGGGCGAGTGACGCCCAACACGCCTGGTGTGGCACCGCGATGACGATTGGTAAAGAGAGATGACATAATCATTGGCATCGGTGACAATGATGTCATTATGGGGGAGATCGTGACATCATGATGGGGGATAATGATAATGTGTAAATAAAAATATCCGCACACAAAGCTCCAACCACGTGATTTTAGTGCAGGGATTTAAAGGAATGTATTTATGCAAATGATGTGCACATTTTAATGCGAGTTTTCAAATAATATCAGTCAGAACAGTAATAGATTGAGTAATTGATTGTTTGAATTATTGGCTGGTTGCTGGAGCTCTACATGAATTTTCGTCTTTAACTTCGTGTGTTCCCCTCTATCACCAGAAGCGTGTGCCCACGTGGAGAGGGTAAAGTTTGTGGACTTGTTCCTTAGATAGATAACAACAATAACAACACAGTACTGTACCTACATTTTATACAGCTCCCGGAATGTAACCAATTGTCTCCGCAGGTAAACCCGCGCGCGTGTTATCCTTTGATCGGGATGTCAATTAAGTTTAAAATATAGATCATGGGATATCATTACAGTAGTGTTATTCTTACCATCATTATCAGGTGTGTTATGGGTAAGCTCCCCCCCCCCCTTCGTTATCCATGGCTAAAGATATCGAATTCACCTGTTACAAACCGCATCGCATGCAAGTGAGCTCGAGAATTGATCTTAATCGATGGGTTGAAGCATCGTTATCCCCTTAATCGTTCACATCCCAACTAGCCTGTCACTTGTTTTATGTCAGCAGTAGTGGATGTTCCCCCCCCCCCCCCCCCCCCCCCGTGTTTAACGACAATCATTTCTCAATTTTACAAATTGGGACCTCTCAATCGTGTAGCCGTTTTCATGAAGTGAGTTTTTACAGTATATACACCACCATGGCGAATAAATCAGCTGTTTTCAAATCTCGTCGGAACTACGCATGTGCCTGAACACATTCGATCTCAGAAGCGGAGCAGAGGCTTGAACCCGTTGAGTGGTCTCAAGGGCGGCCACCACGAGGGGGCTTGCCAGGTGTTGTAGGCACGGGATTGTGAGGTGGGCAGGAGGCGGTAGTGATGAGGGTCAACCCCCTGCTGTGCACGCTGGGTGGTCTTTTCCCCGGTTTGTTCAGTTCCCCACGTGAAGGCAAACTCTCAGCGATGGGAACTGGCCAAAACATCGCAATGCCGGACCTTCCTGAAGAAGTCTTGAGACTCATCATCATCGTTATCTCGCTGATCACTGACTGAGCAGTATTAGCCGCGCTACTCGAGTGAGCGCATGGCTCACTTGCCATACGCTAGAGAGAGAGAGATCACCTCGCTGTGGTCAGTAAAAAGAGGAACCACCTTTTTGAGGCTGAATTGCTTGGTTAAAAGTCAGTGGTAGTTATGTTTAATATGCATATGCCAGGTCCCGCCGTACGAATGTGAAATGTCTTTCTCTGGCCAAGCATACACTGCAGAGATGAACGCCATTGAACGTTTATTACGGCATGAAGATGATGACGTGACGGCGTTATGCTTTTTTAATCGCTATTAACCACCCGCTCGCAAATATTCTTAACAAGTTGTGCACGGCTTATCTCTAGAGACTGCCAGATATTTCCGCTGCGTAGCCCCCCGTTAGCTGCGAGCACGACACCAGCGTGCATTTTGCTTCTCGTTTAGAACACGCTTGCAAACTGCTTCCCTTCCTAAAGAGCAGCGCTAGGCAGGAACGCAGCCCCGCTATGCCTCCCCCGCGTTGTCCGCTAACTTTTCCCCGCGATCCCCATTATCCAGTGGTTCTCAACCGGGGGCGCGTGGGCCCCTGGGGGTACGTGGCAATGTCCCAGGAGGTACGTGAGGTCATTTATAAATGCGTGAAATTATATCGTACGTGAGAGTCATTGGTGAATAATCACGTATGAATCTGCCAATATAAAATTACTACGTTTAAGTTAAAATTTACATGGTAACCTAGAACTATATAAAATACATTTCTAAACTGACTGATCGTAAATAATGTGGTTACCAAGAGTATCCAGTGATCGCGAACGAATTTATCGCTTTGCGTGCAGAGTATCCGTTAATTTTTTGTTTTATTCGCAGTTAGGATACTCCACAAAATGGGCAATTTATTAAAATATTGACGTCCATCATTAATTAATTTCTCTGAACCATGTTGGGTCAGGCAAGGGGGGTAACTCGGTTGAAACTAAATTCAACAATCGGTATAGCACAGTAGCCAACAAATAGTTGAGAACCACTGGCCATGAACCGTTACAGGTCGGACGGACGAGGGTCGAAGGCTGTGAAGGAAGGCAATAGTTTGTGCGCCGGGCGAGCGGAGGTTTGAGCGAAGGTTGAAAGGTTCACGTTGCGAACGCGTGCTGGGTGCGCGGTGATGGCGCGCTTTGTGCACAAGGGGTTCGGGAACGCGACGAGCGTGAGTGGAGCAGTGGGGGGGGGGGGGGGGGGGGGTAAAAATGCTGCCACTGTGAACACCAGAAACTAAAAGTGACCGAAACGTTATGGGGAGGAGGGGTTGGCAGGTTTTGGGGGCACACTCACCGATGCTTACCCCAAGCTCAGTCGCCAGTGAACGCCACCGCTGACCCATAACCAGTACTAGCCCTCTTTCTGATCCAAAATTCCATGCATTCAAGACAACCAGCCACTAGTGTTATCTTTGCCGCTGGCCTTAACGCTAACTCAAACCTTAGCCATCAAGCCAACCAGCGAGTAGTGGTAACCCTACCCTTAATTCTTACCAGCCATCCAATCAGTCACTACTAGTGAGCCATCCCACACAGAGGCTAATACGACCCCTAACCTCGCCTCCGGATCTTTTCCCCTTTTCACTTTTTGTTCACTTTGCAGTTTTGACGTTCACAGCTCACAGCTGAATTTAATGAGGTCACTGCTCATCAGCTGATGTCTCCGCCACTCACTAATTCGGTCCCCAAGGCTGCCGCTGTCAGTGCGATGGTCTTTGTGGCCACTCATAGCCACGAAGC